TGGGAAGCTGGGCAAGGGACATGGGGTCCCCGAGAGCTGCTGGCAGAAACAGGGTGAGGGAAGGGCCTAGAAGGACACCTCGATGAGGGGGAAATCCTAAATGTCCCCTCACACCTGTCCCTAAGAGCTCACACCTCTGACAACATCCGAGGGTGCTGTTGCCCCTTGAGTGAGAACCCACCAGCCCCAAGCACTGCTGGTCCCAGCACCTGAAGCACCCCATGTGGGTGGGAGCCTGATCCTGAGCAAGGACCGCTCCGTGGGATGCAGATGATCCCAGGCACCAGAAAAAAAAACAACTTTTTTTCTGGGGGGGACACCCCAGATATTGTTAATAAGGACCTCAGCACCCAGGTTTCCTCTGGAAAGAGTCCATCTTTTGGGCACATCTCCATGGGATGTCAGCTCTCACCGGGCAGTAAATAGCGTTGCTTTCCCCCGTGCCGCTGGCCATGCATGATGCATGAGGCCTTTATTAATACCCCTCCGAAAGTGCATCTATTATTGATGCTGAGTCTGAAAGCTCTGTGAAGGCACCCGGGCTGGAGCCTTCGCCCTCTGCTCCCCTGGCCAGCGGTGCTGAGGGATGGGGGGAGGGAGGGGGACACCCATGACCACAGCTAGGTGTGGCTGCTTCTGGGGTGGGATGGGCCTGAGCACAGGTGCTTGTGTTTTTAGGAGAGGAGGAGGGGTTGCACCCTGAAACCTGGGGCTACTCAGGGATGGGGATAACGATTCTCCCCGCCAGGGCAGCAGCATCCTGGTCCCAACACTGCCATCTTCCCCCGTGTCCACATCAGAGGCAAGAAAACACGAGTGCTGGATGCCGTTGGTGCTGGGGACTAAGCTGAGGTGCTCGGGGACCGGATTAGCACCAAGCCAGGGATTAAGTTAGGGTGATCGGGGACCAGATCAGGACCAAGTCAGGGACCAAGCCAGCGTGCTTGAGGACCAGCTGGCAACCAAGCCAGGGCACTTGGGGACTCAATGAGGACCAAGCCAGGGGTCAAGCCAGGTTGATCAGGGACGAGATCGGGATCAAGCCAGGGACCAAGCTGAGGTGTTCAGAGACTGGATCAGGACCAAGCCAGGGTGCTTGGGGACCAGCTGGGTACCAAGCCAGGGAAAAAGCCAGGGTGCTCAGGGACCAGAACAGGACCAAGCTGGGGTGTTCAGGAACTGTCTCAGGACCAAGTCAGGGTCCTTGCAACCATGGGTCCAGCCTGAGATGGGCGGGATCAAGCCAGGGACCAAGCTGAGGTGTTCAGAGACTGGATCAGGACCAAGCCAGGGTGCTTGGGGACCAGCTGGGTACCAAGCCAGGGAAAAAGCCAGGGTGCTCAGGGACCAGAACAGGACCAAGCTGGGGTGTTCAGGAACTGTCTCAGGACCAAGTCAGGGTCCTTGCAACCATGGGTCCAGCCTGAGATGGGGAAGGAGGAATGCAGGTGCCCGTGCTCGGCCACAGACGCCACACCAAGTGGCCCCCCTGGGGGGATGCTCCGGGGTGATCCCGGCCAGGAGCCTGCCAGGGGCAGGGGGTTCACT